AAAGAAAAAAAAAGAGGAAGAAGAAAAAGAAGAAGAAAACAAGAAGACGATGATGATAATGGTGAAAAAAAAAACTCTGTAAATATTAGGTTAGGTAGTTCAATATCAATATAATTATTACGACTAAAAATGATATGCTCTATATACTTGATTAAAAAGTAATTAAACATTACACCACGCATAAACACGAGTTGGACGGGCCGTACGAAATCGCCCTGGGACACGCGTTACGCTTTTCGACGAGGCCTCCGTGAGAATTATAGATGAGAAAGAAGGGGGAAGGAAAAAAGGAACAAAGAAAGAATCGTTTCGAGCATTGCGATCGATCCGTTTCGATTTTTTTCTAATCACGACGAACAGGGAATGAGTAAGAAATATACAGAGAAAGAGAGAGAGAGAAAGAAAGAGAGAGAAAAGACTGTTCGTCTCTTCGCGTTCATCGATCCCATCGTTTCCTCGATCCCTCCTCTTTTTTTTTCCCCTGTCGAAGAGGAAGAAAAACACTGATCGAAGCTTTCGGACTTTGTTTTTGCATTGAGCAAGAGAGCGACACGGTTCCTCTCTCGACGCGAAAACAGATCAGGTATTCACGTTTTAGTGATTGGTAACGGAATCGAAGTCACAGGAGAGTGGTACGATCGAGTCGCATGAACAGAAGGAAAACTGATAAAAGTGAAAATCGATCGGTGTTCGTTCGCGATGCTCGGATCTCTGCTGCCGCGTCTCGCCGTGTTTCGAATGGCTCGCACGATGTCTGATATAAACGCTACTTTATTATTATTCAGATAGATAAGGCTTCAGTTTTCTGACGAAAAAAAAAAAGAAAAAAAAATAAAAGTAAAAATAGGACGAGATCTGCCTTGACGACGAACCGAGTGTCGACGACCGGCTTCGTTTCCCCGTTTCTACTCGGATACAACCGTCGAAACGATCGAGGTTTCAGCTCAGATCGCCTTGGAGGATTCCTTTGGGAATGAACGTTAGGATTTACGGATAACTTGTTTAGATTTAAATATGCCTAATGGTGTGTTAGGTGTATCGTTAGACGTATTACTATTAATTAGGCGTGCCATCGGGTACGTCATCTACAGTGTTCCTGAGAACTTTTTTCTCGAAAAAAATAAAAAAAAGAAAGAAAGGATGGAAAGTTTGGTAAAGGAAAAAAATAAAATAATAAAAGAAAATTATTTTCTAAGCACGGTACCTGTATGTACCAAGTAGATTTCTATCGATTTTTCCAACTCAGCATCGTATGCTTCGGATTTTTTACTCGATAGCCATGACATTGTTAATTTAAGATAGACTTTTGTATATAGATTATTAGGGATGTGACGATAGAAATATCGAAATCCTTCGAAACTCGAAAAATTTTCGAGTCCTCGATCTTTGAATTTTTTGCCATTTTTGTGATTCGAAATTCTTGGAATCCAAATGAATTTATATTCAGACTTTTAATTAGATTGTCTTATTATATATAATTAAAAAAGATAATTCATTTTGATTAGAAAAACGACTAATGTTATTATTTATTAATTTATTAATTTTCATTCTAAATAAAACTAGACATTTTTTAGAAAGAAAAGAAAGGAAAAAACAATAAATTAAGTTCTAGATTTCGAGAATTTCGAATCTCTAAAATATTTCAAAATACAAGTTTCGCAACAAATTTCCAAAAATCAGATTTCGATTCATCTCTAATTATCATATACGAAAGTGAAGAGATTTGACAAAGAGGAGAGAGTTTGAGAGATTAGTGCTTTCCTGCAATCGAAAGAGACTCAGCGTACTTTTTTACAACTTTGATATTTTTCTCGAAAGCGACAAAATGAAATACGTAAAAGAAGAAAAAAAAAAGAAATAGTATTTTTATTGAAATTATCTTTCAACGTAGACACTTACGCGCTACGCTAATTTCTCTTTATAAAATACGATCACCAGAAAGGCCTTCGACACCTCGATAAAGTACAATCTTCTTACCAAATACAAAAGTATTGGATTCCCATGGCGATCTGACAGAAACATTTTTTCTCCCTAAAATCTACAAAATTATTTAACTCGTTTCAATCCATATTACAATTACAATTAATCGATCCATTAAAAAAAATATATATATATGAATTTGCAAATAAAGAAAGAAATTGATAAACACTATATTCGAACACGATAGGCGTGTAAACGAGCAAAATGGCGGTATCGACTTCGGTTCTCGACCTCGGGACAGAGCGAAACTACTGAAGTATCTCATGAGAAGTCACCAATTATTGTAATACTTAAAAAAAGAAGAAAAAAAAAAAAAAA